CAGGAATAGTGTCACCCACCTGAAACCTTCTAAATAACAATATCAGTTGTGGAAAAACCAAAAGAGACAAAATAAGAAAACAAGAGCGTTAGTAAAAGTTTGCAATCAAGACATTTCATATGGATATCAAAACTTGTATTGACAAAGCAAAACAAGTAAAACAATAAAAAAATAAAAATAAAAAAAAGGAAAATAAATATAAAATGACCTAACAACAGTTTAAACCCATGCGATGAAAGGATTGTACATTTTCAGAAACAGGAGTATGTTCGCAAGGGGTCGAGAGTGAAGAAAGGCTTTGAGATGAGATTTACACACAGGTTTGAACTTTTAATTACCGCGTCACATTTTCAAATACAGGTAAAGGAGGGAGGCCAACTGGCTTGATCTTACCCAAACAAACTGATCACATTGCTCTGGGAATATTAATAATCATAACATACAAGGGGGAAGAAATGTAATCGATGATTCTTTTGGTCTTTGTTTACATGGTTTAATACCTTGTTTGCTTTATCCTGTCCTGCCTTCTTGACTCCTGGCCAATGGATATGGGAAAAAGTCTGGGGTATAAAGACTTCATAATCATCTAGAAGCCTCCACAGCTCTGAAATAAAGAGTTCATCGCTTGTGTCGCGCGAGTATATTTCTCTCTCTATCATGGTGTCTGACGCGTGCAGTGGAGTGCAAAAAGCGATCTGTCTGCCTGGCACAGCCCAGGGCTGACACAGTGTTGGAAAAACACGAACCCTCCCGAACCCGGTAAGCTGTAAATATAGAGGGATGTGAAGTTGAACTGGGGGGAAAAAAAACCAAGGCCAAAATGATACAGGCTCTACTCGAATGCACTATGGAGCCCTTGCAAAGCATCTGTTGGCTTGACTGAGGGGTCAGGCAGACAGTTCGACGCGCACACACTCCACAGGCCCTAAGCGAGCGCGCGGGGGGTTAGGAGCGACAGAGCGGGTGGGGGACTGCCGGCCCCTTGTGCTCTTCCCCACCCCGCCCCCCTGAGGCACCAAATAAGAGGGCTTCTAACCAACAGGAAGAGAACTCTCTCTACAACATCAAGACAAACTCCCAAAGACCCACCAAAACCACAAATGGCCACACTGCCTGAAAGGCGGCATTTATTTGAGCACCGTAATGCTGGGGTAGTAAATCCAAAATGCCATCCAAAGGGCCACGACTTTTCAACTTTTAAAGGGAATCAATTTTTTTAAATAACGCAAATGACCCGAAATGCATGGTTAGGGTTAGAAGCCATCTTATTTTTTGCACAGCAAAGACCACTATCTCCATCAGTCCATTTATTTCTCCAAGACCGAGCCAGCGAAATCCCTCCAAGAGACTACAGGGAAGAAAGCATGCCAAACTGCAGCATGTGTTTTAGGACCCCCGTTTGGTGTGAGACACAGAAGAGCCCAGCCTTTCTTCCTTTGTGTGGGGGTGAGTGGGGGCTGGCCGGGCCAGGAAGAAGCAGTGTTTAAATTGAAAGCAGCATTGGAGTGAGAGAGGGCAAAAAGAAGGGGTATGTCTCTAATCTAGCCATCCAAATGAACAAAACAAAACAAAAAAGCGAGTGAGGAGAGGGTAAAGGGGACTTAACCTTGCTGAATT